TGGGGGGCAAAGCCACCACCTCCTTCAAGTGGAAAACCACTGCTCTAGTCCCATCGGATTATGAAGGTGGATTCTTCATTACCAAAAAGGTTCCTTTTTGGAAAAAAAAAATCATAACCAGCCTATGAAGGCCATGGTGAGAAATTTTAAACTTACTCCACGTGTAATGACAAGACATTGGGAGAATCAGGATCTGACACTGGCTTTCAATCACTCTTAACATTGTGTATAGAACAGTCTACATGGGGCGGCCGGCAGCAACGGAAACAGGTGGGCAGTTATCAGGCCACTGTGCCTGACAGATGAGAAGTGACAGTGGCCTAACCGAGGCTGGTGGTGGAGGTGATGGGAAGTGGTTCTTGATTACTACATAAATAGGGATAAATAAGGGGGGCAGTACTGACTGCAAGTTGGTTGGGACAGAGCGGACCTACAGAAGCATTTGGTGATTTTCCACAATGATAAAGTCAATAATGAAGCCCAGTTGTTTGACTCATCTCAGTATCTTTTCCTCTGCACTGTATCACTGCCCAAACACACCATTATCACGTGGGAATAACAAACACAGATCAATTTTCTATTAAGTCAGAAGTAGTACCTAAATTTTTATTCAATGTGCAAACTGACTGGTATTTCAGTTCCAGGCAGTATCATCAGTCACTAACCGGTGTGCAAGAGCATCACACCACCTACCTGTGACCCGGAGAAAGTTATCTGTCCCAAATGACTTTAGCAAATGAGGAGAGAATAAGACGTCAGAATTTTTATTTCACAAATCTATTTAATTTAAGGGGATAATGATTTATTTTGACATGTATATACTTGGCCTGATTCCAAAAGCATTGGAAACGGCATATAGATTGTCAGTGGTACGAAACGGCTGCAGATTTTTGCTAAAATCAACTTCGAAAGCAAATCTGATCGTACTTTTTCCCATTTCCCAAAATTCAAAAACATATGATGCTCTGAATGGAATCAAATCAGTGTGTCATTTTCTTGTGGTACTATGAACTGTATTATCATTATATATTTATTGAGTGTTTACTATATGGGATGTGCTGGGGATACACAATGCATCTTGGGACCATGACCATTGTCAAAGCCTGACTTCGAGTGTGACTCTGCCTGAAATCAGTAGTGAAATTCTCTGGTCACATATCTGAACTAGCCAACCATGAAGGGCCTGCTCAGTTTTTTGTGAACACAGCACGTGTCAAGTGGAGAACTAACTAATTACAACAATACAAAGCAAAAACAAAAACCAGAAAAACTCTTCCCCTTCAGAGTGACTGAAGTCCAGGTGTCTTCACCACCTCTAATTCTCTTCTATGGCTACTTTCAAAGTGGGGACAGACCACTTTGAGAGAACATATGGAAAGGCAGAAACAGTGAAGAATGTAGTCCTGTAGTCTGGAATCCAAAGAGGGTCAGTGTCCTCCTGTGATTACAGGTTATTCTGGTAAGTGTAGTAAATCTTCTCCTGTTCTAGCAAAAAGGTATTGGAATTAATACTCCCCCTCTACCCTTTTTTTTTTTTTTTGGTACCAAAGGAGAAAAATTTTTGTTCTGGATTGTTCTGAATAAAGTACATTGGAAACTTGGAAATAGCCACAAGTCAAGGAACGACTCAAGACAGCTCACAGTCTAATGAAAAAGCAGAATATAGACAGTCTTTAATTCATTTTTCTTGATTCAAGGAGAGTTAGGTTTTATATGTTCTTATCCTATTTTTTATAAAGTATTACATGTGCACTTATGGAAGTCACTTTATGATTTAAATAATGTAAATTATTTAAGCCAGAAACTATACTTCAGATGATGAACTCTTCATGTTTCTAGGTAAACTAACTAAACAAGTGCATTACACTAATCTCAGTATGTGATAAAAAAAATTGAATTATTTATTGAATACTTTTAATTCATATCTGGCTGCAATAACCTTTAAAACTAAATTGCTCTAAAATATTTTCCCACAGTTAACACTGCGTAGAAAAGCTGCTTAGTACAAAAGTTTTAAAATATTTCTCACATTCTGATTAAGTCTCAGCAGCAAAATTTTAAGCACATGAATGTCCAATATAGAATAGGTTCCTTTCACATGATACCAATGAACATTTCATCGATGATTTATTCAATAAGTACCTTGTTTGTGCCAAAAGCTGTGGGAGAAGCTTTATTGCTTTTCTGCTTACAAATCATATTCATTTGTGCTATGATGTTTGAATTTCATCATAACTTTCAGAAGCAAGTATACTTACAATCATCAAATTACATAGTAGGAAACTGAGGCTCAGAGAAACTGAGTGACCAACCCATGGTCGCTCCACCAATTAGGTATTAAAGTGGATCTTTGGTACAGTGCTTGTACTTTTCCTATCCTGCCAGGTCAGGCCCTCAGTTTTATGCCCATCTTCCTGGCTGGAACATGAACTTGACAAGGCCAACCTCAGATCTTATTTGTACTTTTAGATTCCCAAAAGACAGCACAGTTTGGCACATAATAGGTACTTAATATATTTTCATTGAATGGTCTGAATGACTCACAAGAATACAATAAATTTTCAGGAGTCTACTACCTGCTTAACAGCTTCGGCCCTGCTAAGAGGCGGGTGAGGGCTTGGCTTTAAATCAGCTTGGACTGCAGAAAGCCAGGCCTGGCACTGCTGCAGGGTGTCTTGTCGGCTGACATGCTTCTGAAGTTCATGTTCCAAACTCCGGTACACCTGAGACAAAACAATCATGCTAAGGTTGTGAGAGCTGCTTTTTATCTCTGTAAAGATCATTAGAATTAAATGAAACCCATCAATAAGTCCATTTAAATGTGTTTTCCCCAGGACCCCCCAACGCCAAACATGTATCTAAGGAAGATTGCATATTTTCCAAAATGTTGCAAAACACAATGGCCATCCCCCAGTTTATAACTTCTCAATGCACATATCACAATATTACCCTGATTAAGGGAAGAGAACATGAATAGA